TTTAAACAATGGGTCCTTGATTTCAGAGGAAGGCTCAGTTGAAATGATGACTGTCAATAGCAGATTTGTCAGCTGTAGCTAGCTAGCATATTATGCTAACATTAGCTGTATGAGTCAGTTAAAAATGTATTTTCCAGCTGACTTTGTGATGTCTTCAGCTGCCTCGTATTGAAAAAGAATCTTGTGTAAGTCTTAGATATGCACATGATGGCTACATACATGCTATGCTAAAACTCAGCATCCTCATTAGATAATAATCTATGTAGAAGACATGGAAATAAGGAACAGTATTTATCCTGTGTTGCATTATAGAGGTAGTTTGTCCTTTTTTTTTTAAGTGTTAAAAAAAAAAAAAAACAGGAAAAATGCACAATCAGACTTTGTTGCTTCCAACATATTTCCTTTTATTGGGGCTCAGCTTAAATAAATGGTTGTATTTTCAATATTATGTTTTTCACATTTAACCTTATAAAAGACAACACTCCCAGGATGAGGATTATGTGATGTTTTGAGCAAAAATTAACACTATCTTGGGTTACACAGTTGTGGTTGTTGTGGTTTAAACTTTGTTTGTGTGACAAATCCATCCAACAATTGACCCTTCGCTAAGTCCCAACCCTCGGACACAGTCAGGCCAATCATAACGTAGTGCCGGCCAGCTCCAATAAGGGTCCGACAACAACACAGTTGTGCTCCATTGACTTTTATGTAATCGTTTCAGATTTCCTTAATCTTCAGGCTGGTTTGTGGATTTCAAGTTAAATGTTGTCCCTAGGACATGGTTTAATAATGATACTCGTTACCTGGAGAGGTTGGAGAGAGATATACGTTTCTCCCTCGTTCCAAAACCAAAATCAAACCCTGAAAAGTGTAGGGTTAGCTAGCTAGCTACTGAAGATATAGCCTACCGAATAACTACACACCCTGCTGAACAGAAACCAGTTAAGGGGAACAGGGGAACTTTGGTGATATTTAAAAAGCTGTGTGTCATTGCATTGAGATTAACATTGTTTGGCTTCTTCCACGGCTTCCTTACTGTCCGGCAGCAGAGGTTATAGCTTTATATTCATTGTCCTCTGTCTCAGTCGCCAGTGATGTGGTGGTTCACTTTTACACTCATCAGTAGCCTATAGTTCGGCTTTAGCTTTCAGCTGTCTTTATCTTTCTAACCTCTTTTTGCTGCTGAGTGAGTTTGACATCTAGGATATATCCTTTAAACAAATTTTGTAGTCCCCTCTGTTTGGTTCTCTCTGAAATTGCGTTTTTTGATTTTCCAAAAATAGACCATCACGGAGGAGTAGGGCGTAGCAAAGGCTCAATTGTCAAGACAAACGGATATAGAGACAGAGTGTAACGCGTCATACTCTGAAAACCACGCCCATCAGAGAGGAAGATTCTCTGGACCACATTATACAACCAACAGCTGAAACGCCAACAAAATGCCTGTAGCTAGTAAAAAACATGACATTTCAGCACGTCAAAGGATTATGTTTGCACCATGTGTCAATCAGAGATGAAAAGCTATATTGACAAACCCAATATTGTTGATCTGTGTCATTGTCTCTTCTCCTTACCTTCTTTATCTTGGAGAAATGATCCAACTGAATGGCCAGTTGTGACATACTTTGATATTTACAGCTACTTGATCAAATCATGAGGTAAGATCAGCATTTAACCCGACACAGATCAAAACTAGGCATTACATAGCTGAGTTAACTTCAACCTCTACAGTTTGTCTACAGTTCGTTGCTGTATGTGGGCATACTAAGTGTCAGGATCTCACAGTTCTCCCATATCTTCCTGCTGATGCCTTACGTCGTATTGCACGCAATGAAACCTTCACGCAATAAAAAAGTTAGGGGAGGGCAATGTATTCTTTTCCTCTCTGGTGTGGGCGGGACTTAAATGCGCTCTGTCTCTTTTTCTTAGAGGAAAAGTTAGGGGATCACCAGAGGTCAGTTGACTTTATCTTCCAAGGACCATAAATATACAAACTTTTACTGCAGTTCATCCAGCAGTTGTTGAAGTATTTCAGTTTGAACCAAAGTTGTTGACTGAGTGACTTTGCCGTCTCACTCTTTGAAAATAGGAGATGCTGTAATACAGTAAACTTTACTTTCAGTGTGTAGAGAAGGGAGTGCTGCTGCAGTTTTTCCCACCAACCCACATTATTTATGGAATATATAGAGCGCACGAGTACATGTCTCGAATTAGAGATGATGGACACAACAATTACCCGAGAAAACAGCTATGCAAACATGCAACAGTTGATCCATTTATCAGAGTCTGCGGTTTACATTAAAGCACTATAAATCCACCCCTTATTTGTATAGCCGTCCCTAATGTTGTCTTATTTCAGAGTTTTCCCCTAAATCACTGATCAGATCAGAGTCTGTGGGTCATCAATCAGGCAGCAAAACACCCCGATTCTCCTCTTCTTCTCATGGAGATTCAGCCCACATGCCAGTCAGCCAGAGGAATACTCAGGCTTGTGGTTGAGACGAGGGGGAAGAGGAGCAGACTTGGCGGATCAAGGGTTTTCAGGCTTGGAGGAGTAGCTGCATTCCTCCATGTCTCTCTGTCTTCCTCTGCTGATGTCTCATTCTGTCCTACTCTCTCTCTCTCTCTCTCTCTCTCTCTCTCTCTCTCTCTCTCTCTCTCTCACACTTTCCCCCCATCCATCTCCATTTCCTGTTCCTCGAGCCCCGTTGGGGTTGTCAGACAGGATCGTTGATGTTTCCCTGATGTCCTGTCCTCAAATGCTGCACTCTAGTCTGCCTGGCCCGACCGCACTGTCTGTCTGCAGTGTCCCTATTATTCATTTTTGCACACAGGTGCAGCTAATAGTAATAATTTCATCAGCACTATTTTGTTTTTGAGTAATATATCGCCTCTTCAGACTCTGCATCAGTCAACGGTGGATGTTCTTTTGTTTGGCTGACTGTTTTCTTTTTTTGGACACCGTCCTGGTCATATTTTGGATTCTTGAGACAAGATGGAAATGAAAGGTTGCCTGTTATTTGTCCGTTAATACTAGCTGAAAAGCAATGCAGTAGGGAGAGGTCAGCTGAAAGAGAGTGTGAACAAGAAAACAGTTAGAAGATGTAGCCCACAGAGAGATTAAAGAGGAGCGTAATGTCACTGCCCTCCTCCTCCCCCTCCTCTTCCTCTTTTGTTCAGTAGTGTGTTTCTACAGTAATGGAGGTGCAGCCAAGAAGACAGATAAAAATCTCTGGTAATTACCTCTGAGTCATACTCTGATCTTATCCGAAAGTTGGCCCACTAGTTATTACTGTTGGCATGGTGAAACCTGGAGAAAGGTGTATATACTGTACTGTACATGCGGACAGATGGAGAGAGACCAACACATCCTCAGACACTGACCGATATCCTGAAGAGAAAGGAATCCTCACACTTACTAACATGTTAAGTGAGGGATGATGTGCAGCAAGATGCTCATTATTGTGAAATAAACCCTGACAGGTGATGCAAGACTTTGGTTTATGAGCAAATAAATGCAAAACTAATGAGACTCCCATCAGCCTCATCTGAGCTTTGTGTGTAGTGATAATAAGCAAATTTAAGCTTGCTAAAGGCCCTGACACACCAGGCTGACAGTCAGTAGGCAGCCAATGTTAGGCCTTTGGTAAACGTCTGTGGCTTTTTTGGCATGTTGAATTGGTGGTAGAGTCTGTTGGTGAGAGAAATCACTTTGATCGGTTGTTCAGCTTAAAGGAATGGAAAGGAAATAGAAGTGAAATGACTAAAGTCAAGAGGGCACACACAAGGCTCTTCTCATTTGTTGTCTTCATCTCATTTGATCATTCCAACACAAAAATATTTTCACACATCATGGCGATCTGAGAGCGAACAAGACACGAACAAGACGCATACACCAAAACAGTATGTAGCTTTCCCAGTACGCGACCCACTGAACATGCGCAATAGTGTTTCTTCTGCTGGTCCCGCCCACAAGTTCCAGCTCTGCTCATAGACGACTCATTGCAATGATGTCTGCGATTTTTTTAATCCCTTTTCCTGTCTCAAAGAAAATTTTACAAATATAAAACCTCCATGGATAAAAAAAGAACATTATAGAAAGGGTCATAATTGATCTTGGATATTGGGGAAAAAATGGACACAAGGCTGAGCTGCTTTTTTGGGACCTGATGTATCATAACAACAGTTCACGCTGCCCTGAGTCTTCTGGTTTCCCTTTTTGAATGAATGACACAGACTACCGCCACCTGCTGGTATGGAGAGTTATTTCCTGTCATGCAAATGCAGGACGTACTTGTTAGTTGGCTGTTGGCCGTGGTCTTTGTGCTGTGCAAGTTTTTGGCCCAGACACAGGCCAAAGTGAGGCGGTGCAACAGTCGGCCTTTGTTGCTTTTTTCCAACTGGGTCAAATGTTTCATTTGTTTCATTGACTTTCAAAATAAAAGTAATTGCAGCTTGATAGCTTGATAATGATTTAGATGTCAAAATGTTACAAATATACTGCACATCTTTTTACTTTGTTTTATTCTGAAAAATTGAAAATATATTTTTGTTCTCACCTGCTGCCTGTCTGTATGCAGTTCATTTTTACCTGTGCCCCTACCTGTGAACAATAAAACATTTCTACATTAATAAAAACAATATTTTTCTTGTGGCCGTGTGCACGTGCAGAATTCTCTGAAGATTGTTACGCAAAGTGCAAATAAAAAACAAACAATTCTTTATGCTAGAAGATCTTAACTCACTGTACATGCATTTTTTTTTTTTTTACACTAACTTTGGCAAATTAAGCTGTTTCAAATATTCAGGATTGATATGTATCATCAAATCGATATTTTTGACAACACTTATTGGTCGTAAGTTAAATTACCTGGTGTAGTTTTTATTTTAACAGAACCCGCAGACTTTTGGCTTTCCATGGCACACACATTAAAATTGATCATATCCATGACTGTGAAAACGTGTATTTGTGACCTGTGTGACTGTTTGTCTTTGTGCAGGACTACCCCAAGAACAGGCACCCGGGATGGAGCCGAGGGTCGGTGGCGTACCATGCTGGTGAGATTTCTTTTCTTTCTTTCATTTCTTCTTTCAGTCCATAGAGATACATTTCTTGGAAACAGGGTTGTGTGTTATTTCCCTGTATGAATGTGGAATTCCCCCTGCAGTTCAGATAAAAAAACAAATCTGATCTACTTCCTCCAAAGCATCTAGATGCTGCTTTTAGTTGCAGACACACAGGGCACCATCTCAGCTAAGGGTTAGTTCGAGTGGGGTCGTATAAGATACTTATGTATAGTCAATGTATTACCCTAAGTCGATGGTGGTCCGCACGCCCACAGTTTGGAGCAGCATGCAGGATTCTCACCAAGGAAGCTCAGCATTACATTGCTGTGGACGGGGGGTGATATCAAAACGATATCAAAGAAGCCACCTTAAAAGAGGCCCACCTAAAAAAAAACAAAAAAAAAAAAAAAAAACAGTTTTCTCAAATTTTCAATTTTCTCAACTGCTGCAGAGTAATACAATGCACGGCAGCGGAGATGCAAATTTTTCGATTGAGAAAATGTAGTGCCAAAGAAAAGGGCTGTCTGACAGCGAGGTAAAGTGTTGAAAAAATATATTATTTTAAGTGGGCCTATTGTAACACTGACTTTATATAAGTACCTCATACGACCCCACAAAAATCCCAAACTAACCCGTTGAGGTGCCGAGCACAAATAGAGATCAAGGAGGATTGCGGGCAGATAAAAAGCACAGAGAGCAGATAAAACAGACGGTGACAGCATCAGAAAGAGGAGAAGGATCGTATTTCCGTCTCTTTCTCTCATACTGAGTCAAATAAATATCTCTCCATGCAATGAACCAAAAACAACAAAAAAAAAAAAGATATCTTTATCTTCCCACACATGTTAAGTCTTGGTTGTTTGCGACAACAGGCCTGTGAACGTTATCTGCACAGGCATCTGCCCAAAACCCCCACCGCTCCCATTCCAGGTCTCAGCACACCTCACTATCAGTGCTAAGAGATTAGCTATCAACAATGCTGCCATGATATGAGAGAGGCGGCAAGCTTGGTAGGTGGTTGTTTTTACACCGAACAAGCTACAGTAGGTAGCCAGCTCTTTATCTGACAATCCACTGTCACAGTCAAGATCTTGTTAGTCCTTATCGGACAGTTCGGAGCTAGCTGGCTTTTTTTTTAAAATCTGCGTTATTTTGGTCTGAAGCATCCCACTGTCTTCCAATCTCTCTTACGGGAGATTTCAGCTGCTCCCACTCACTGCGTTTACATTCACAAAATATTATGGTTTTTGCCCTCATTCCGAAAAAGACAATATTCCCTCTGAGCTGTTTACGTGGCTAATTAAAATAAATATTCCACCATTATAAGCGATATCGACGATTGATATCAACATGTTTTTTTTTTTTTTTTAACGTTTCCTACTGGCGGCAGACTTGTTCAGCCGAGCGAGTACAGCCTCCGTCTTGCACTCCTTCAACCACCGTTTTGAAAATGTTGGTGCTGTGATATTGGCGTATCCAAATACCTGCTGATATCCAGGTCTTTCATAATGTTTAAAATAGGTGTGTTTCTCTTTTCGACCAGAAATAGGGGTTTTTCCGCTGGGCATGCATTTCTATACCAGCCCTGCAAACTGTTGTTGAGTTGGTTTGTTTACAACATATCCATTAGGGTTGGGCTGGTGTTATAATTTCAAACTGGTTGGATATCAAGCCAAACACTGGACCGGACCGGACTGGACCTAATTTTGCAAGGTGTCCCACTTGACTCAGAAACCGCTCCCTAGTGGAACATAATAACACTGTAGCTGTGTCTCAATTCAGCCTTCACGGTTTACGTCAGCCAAGTCCTTTGAAGACCGCATCAGCGGTCAATGGGATGGTCTGGTCTGCCAAGGATTTCCTGGTTGCATCACCAGTTGTTCTCGCCCTGTCCCGTTAGTGTTCCTGTTACCTAGCAACCAGCCGTGATTGACGAAATAAGGAGTAAGCTAATAAGTTAGTTAGCCCTAAATCATGGACCCAGAGATTGTTATTATATATATATATTTATTTAAATTTAATACTTGATGAGATGATTCACTGCTGGAGACACAGCCCTTTGATATATTTCAGGCTGATGGACCATTTTCAGTTAAACTTAATGAATTAAGATTGTTTAAGCTGTGTGCTTTTAGCTAATAGTAATGTTAACAACAGTTAACCATTAGCTAGTTGACAACTCTTAACTTCACTTAATATATGATCGTCACCGGCACGCAATGCATCTTGGGGTAAGCTCGGCCATGAAGGATTCATCCGTTGCATCCTCCAAATTCTGGGAAAGAAAGCAGCGTTTCTCTGCCGCATTTGAAGGAGCCTTGGAAATGGGACAGCCTTGGTCGCACCGATGCGACGCAGTCGGTCTTCAAATTGGGCCTCGAAGGCTGCAGGCCCTGAATTGAGACACAGCTTTCGTCCCAATAGGAAATGAGTGCCGCATGTTTAAGTTTGCTTGAGAAACTAACTCTGCTTTATCTCCTCCAGTCACCCCAAAAAACACATGAACTTTAATGTAAATGAACAGCGTGGCCAGCTCTGCCCCCTCCCACCTCTACTGAAATTTTACCTCTTTTATGTTGCTGTTGCTCAGACACTAGTTGCTCTGTTAGTCTGTTTAGAAACATGATATTATGTTAATCAATCATGTTGTCATGTTGCTTCTATGAGTTGGATTTAATGCTGTGATGCCGTCAGCACAGGTTGCTGATGTAGGCTCTTTTTTAATTTGCCTGAGAGTGTCATAATGACAAATGCTATATTTTGAATGTGCTGTATACATTTTCTTTTTCTTTTTTTTTTTTCTTTTTTTTTTTTTTTGTTTTTAAAGATATTTTTGGGGGCATTTTTCAGCCTTTAATGGATGGGACAGACAAGTGTGAAGGGTGAGAGAGAGGGAGTGACATGCAGCAAAGGGCCACAGGCTGGAGTCGAACCCGGGCCGCTGCGGCAACAGCCTTGTACATGGGGCGCCTGCTCTACCACTAAGCCACCGACGCCCCTGTATACATGTTTTTAAAGAATGCTATTAAAATCTCACTAATACCGACATATCCCACATGTCCTAATTGGAATTCGCTCATTTCTGAAAAAGGCCTTATTTGAAATTTGAGAGGGAATATACTGTTAACATGACCTGCATGAAATTCAGAATATTGTCATATTTGGAGAAATAGTGAATCATTACTGTTCATGTAAACTTAGCCACTCTGAATGATTCACACGCCACAAATGTCACTGTGTGTCATATGTTTTTCCACCAGGGGATGTGTATGATTTTTATTTTTAGAGGAAGGTTTATATACTTTCTTCCAGTTGACCTCCAAATCAGCTATCAAAACACATTTTCTTGTTCACTCCGCACATTCCATTCATGTTTCGAGTTGATGTTTATAGTCCTAAATCCCCATATCCCTTTGCAGATTCCATTTATACTTAGGATACATTAATAATAATAACAGTTGATGCTGTGCGTCCTGCCGGGGTCCGTGGATGATACCTCATTGCTGAGTGACAGACGAGGCCAGTCATTCACAGAGGCTCACCATGCCAGTCCCAGAGGTCTAGCGCTGCGGTCCGCCTGGTTTGGCTGCTGTGCGTTGGACACCACAGAAATGTGCACGCCCCAGCACAGCTCCCATTAATCTTATTTGTTAGAGACTAAAATGATGTATGTGGTTTTCCACGCTGTGCGTATGAGGTTTGCCTTCCCATGCTTGGGTTAAGGTGCAGGCTCTGATCCAGCTACTTAAAATCAACAGCCGGGGCCTCTTCTTCATGTCTCCTCTGAGATTTTCGCCGAACAGCTTTCAGGAACCTCAAGAATTGCATGCAGACGCTCTTTGGCAGAGTGACAGAAGCTTAATGTATACACAGTATTGTATGCACTAGGTCATGTAACCACAGCAGAAATTGCTTAAAGAAGGAATGACTTTGTTACCTTGGTTTTCCTGCTCGGTGCGAGCCAAGAATGCTGTGAAGAGGTGTTTCTGTGACACGTGGTACCGCTGTTTATTAACTTTTATGGGTAGTTTTGTATTTGACCTCAGTATCTAAAGGGGCAAATGTATGCCAGGATAATCTTGGCAGGCCTTCACTTTGTACACACTCATTGTTATATTTTTAACATACCTCACGCTGCTCCTTAGTGCTCTTTGAGTGTTTGTAATTTTATTATCTTTCAAGAAAACAGTGGCTATAGATTAGTCTTTTGAGTTATATTATGTACTTATATTAGTTACATAATGATTCAAGTGCAGCATTCCTCCTTTTCTTATTTATACTTTGCATATACAGTTTGAGCTCTATTTCTGTCATCCTGATTTATGATGCGTTGTATTGGGCACGCGACCAGTGTTGACCTGGATCACATGTAATGTGTATTATTGACTTTAAAGGTTGTGATTTTACTCCAGATATATTCCAGTTATATACACAAATGCCTGCCAACCATATCGCTGCTCCTTTGTATAGCTTGTATAGTTGGAGAGTTCTTTGGCCTGCGCTGGTGTTACCACGAGTGTTTGTGTTGGGAGTCGGCCCAGTGTGGACCTCCATCCTGCGTGTTGGCTCGGCTTGTCTCCGCAAGTTAATGGGCCGTGGGGCACTGCAGGCCCCTGTGGGCCCTATCAGGAGCAACCAGCCATCCAACCAGTGAGTGCTCCTCAGCAAGCCTCATTAACCCTGTCACCTCCTCCAAACCCCCCATCAGTGAGTCACACGTGCTATGACTCAACACCCGCAGCTGAAGGTTGTGCCCTACCACCACCACCGCCACCATTCATCCCTCACCACCAACCCAGCCTCACATAATAGGGCTCAGTCTAACTTCTGTGACGAGATCTAATCTGATTCCAGATCAAGTTCTGCAAAAACAATTATTCAATACCAACATGATGTGTTTGGGGATTATATTTCCATCTCACTCAATGGGACAAAAATGGATTTGGATGACAGAGTCTCTATAACATCAACAGGCACAGAAGGATGACACA